CACACACAGACACTTTAAGTCTGTAATCACAGTTCTACATTTAATTTATAAATAAGTAAACAAATTGACCATAGACTGATAGTATTCTGTTAGAGAGTTTTTAAAAAGTAAAATTAGGTATAAGAAATGTTGTGTCAATTCTTGTATCCGGCTACCTGCGTTAGAGTGGACACATGATTTTCAAGAAGTGAAGCGTCTGTGGCTGTTTGGCAATACTTTGGTTTTAAACCAGAAGACAATGTCAAACTTCCCAGTGCACAAGGATGGCAAACACATTATTACTGCAATGGCCAATGCTTGAGAAATGCTGTGCTACAATACTTTGTGGCTGTCAATTACTAATTACTGTTAGACACCGACACCAATAATATTATCAAATCACAAAACCCTGCTTAGTTTCATGTATTAGGAGGCACTTTGTAGTTTCTTGGAACGAGGCAGGTACACTCCATGTCTATGGAACAGTATTCATCTGGAGAAGTACGTAAAATTCTGAATTTCTTTGTATAAATTCTTTGACTGACAAAGCAACATAATAACAAAAATAATAGTATTATCATCTTTGTTATAGGTGTATACCTTTGTGGGTGGGGGCTCGGGGAATTGAATTTGATTGGAAGTACATTCAGATGAGCTTTGATTCCAACATCAGCCTGGTAAGTCCAGTTTCAATCCACAGAAACTTTTTTCCCTAGGTCGTTTTGAATTAGGAATTTAACACTTGATTTCACAAGTTGTCTTTGTTTGGTCAGGTGCACTATATTGCCATGGCAGCAGTGGTGTGGATGTTTACAAGATACGACCTGCCAAAAAGCTTTCGCCTGCCTGTGACTGTCCTGTTGGGATTGTGTGTTTATAAGGCCTTCTTGATGGAGTAAGTACTGTGTCATTTCTAACAACACTCTTAAAGTTTTTTTAACCATGTCTTGCATAACTTTTCAAGTAATGATCAATAAACAAATAGAAAAATGCTAATCACAGTCGTATAACACTGGATAAATAAAACCTGATGCATGATTTTGCTTTTTTTTCCACTGAAAATTGATTGCTTCCTGAAGACTTGCATGAAATTTTTTTTTAAGCTAATATAAGTCATTTTAAATTTTAAAGGAGCAGCAACAGTTTTTTTTTTTTTTTTTTTGGAAGTACCACTTTACTGTAGTCCAGGGGTGCCCAACTCCAGTCCTGGAGGGCCAGATCCCTGTGTAGCTTAGTTCTTTCCCTGTTCCACCATAAATGATTCAGCACAAGAGCTGTGTGGTAATTAGCACAAGGAGTTGAATCAGGTGTGTTAAATGAGGGGAAACCCAAAAATGTGCAGGACTGGAGTTGGTCACCCCTGCTGTAGTCGAATCTTAGGCAAATTTAAACTATACCTTGTTTTTGACCGTTATCTGCCATGGTTAACAGTTCAGACTGCCTTAGAGGGCAGTAAAGGTTTGGTGATTAAATTAAAATTGTCCCTTAATGTTTGACTGTGTGTGGGTATGACGTTAAACTGCATCCGGCCCTGCAAGCAGTCCACAGGAATGCTGCACGCACCATGAAGGGGATGGGGGAAAGCCTACTTTTGGTCTGGTCGGTCTGACGACTGCCATACTCAAGGAGTAGCTGTTGATGTAGCGGATTGGCTCCATCTGATGGTGTTTGATGTCATTCCTTTCAATGAGCGTATCATGAGACTTGGGCTAAGGCACTTCTTGGGTGTCCTGTCTGTTGTCTCAGTGTATGCTCTGACCGCGGTGAGTGATGTCTGGCTGAGGTAGACATTTTACTTGCAGCTTCGCTCGGTGGTTGAAGGATGCCCTCAAGGTGACACTCCTCTCATAGGTGACGAAAGTGCGATCACTGGCACTGACAGGGCTGGCTATGAAGATTGTGACAGTCCCCATGGGTCTGGAAACCGGGGTGAAAGTGGCTCCATGTTCCTTGACTTTGCCAAAGGTCAGAGGCTGCGGGTAGCTGGATCCTGGTTCCAATACCCTGAGCCGCATAGTTGGTCTTCGTACAGCAAAGGAGATCAATCACATCCTCGTTGGCAGACACTGGAGGCTCCTGCAGAACTGCAAGGTCTACAGAAGTGCCCAGTTTGTGAATTCTGACCACAGACTTGTTGTTGCTACTCTGAAGTTTCAGCTTAGATCCAGTAGGGTACCACCCACTAGGAAAATGAGGCTGATGAGTTTGTACGCAGTTTGTGTGATGAACTTGCAGACTTGGGTGTGACTGCTGACTCTAATGTGATGTGAGAGACCTTCCATGATAAGACCCTGAAGGTTGCCAAGGGCTGTGTTGGTGTTGCCAGTGTTCCCAGAAGGAGGCGTTTCATCTCGCAGGGCACCCTGGATATTATCAAGAGGAGTCGTAGCGCAAGACTTAGTGGAAACTCCAGTCTGTACTGGGAACTGAGAAGGATGCCCATGAGGGCTCTGAGGGCAGATAAGGAGGCATTTGGTAGACAAATTTATATGCAGGTGACACACCATCTGTGGTCTAGTGACCCACGTCCTGCTTACAGAAGAATCGAAGCATTACGTACATCTGAATCTGTTCCTCGGAGACTTGCAGTAGGGCGAGTGATGGGACGGTCCTTATGGTTGATACTGCAGTTATGACCCACTGACTGGCTATTTTGAGCAGTTGTTTAAAGCTGACCCTCTACCTAGGATGTTGGAGATCTCTGGATCTACAGTTCTTGAAGCTGATCCTCCGATCAGCTGTGAACCACCCAATCTCACTGAGATTACACGGGTGGTGAATCAGCTGAGGGCAGGGAAGGCCGCAGGGATCTGTGGTATCTGGGGTGAACTTCTCCAGGCTGGTGGTAAGGCTGTCCTCCTGGCATTGCAGGCAATGTTTGCTTCCATTAGGGATTCAGGCGTCATCCCAACTGACTGGAAAATGGGATTTGTAGTCCCTATCTGGAAAAGGAAGGGTGATGGCCTGTATTGTGGCAAATACATGGGGAAGAACACTGCTTTCAGTGCCGGGTAAGGTCCTTGCTAAGGTCATCCTTAACAGGATCCGTGATCACTTGCTCGCCTGTCAGCGACTGGAGCAGTCTGTGTTTTATGCCTAAGAATTCTAACATCGACTGTATCCTTGCACTGAGGGTTCTTACCAAGCACAAGCGCGAATATCAGCAGATGATCTTTGCAGCCTTTGTCGATTTTCATAAGCATTCGACTCAGTTGATTGAGTTGTTGATTGGGACATTCTGAGACTTCACGGAATCCCCCCAAAGTTACTGGACTTCATGGCCAGCCTGTACACTGGTACTGTGAGTGCTGTGCAGAGTGGAGGAAGAACCTCTGCGTTCTTCCCAGTTGATTCTGGGGTTCGCCAAGGGTGTGTTCTTGCTTCTACTCTGTTCAATGCTTGTAGGGCCTGGGTGTTGGGCAGGATTGTGGGGTCCAGTGGCTGTGGGGTGTCCATTGGTGAAGAAAGATTTACTGATCTTGACTTTTCCGACGATGCTGTGATCTTAGTGGAGTCAATGGAGGCTCTTATTGGGGCTCTCGAGAGACTGAGCGAGGAGTCTGAGTGTCTGGGATTGCGGGTGTCCTGATATAGATCCAAGATCCAGGCATTTAATGCCTTCTTAAGCACAGCTATCAATAGTGTGTCTGTCCGGCAGGAGAATATCGACCTTGTCAAGAGGTTCACTTACCTCAGCAGTGACATTCATGTCTCTGGTGACTCTTCCCATGAAGTCAGCAGACGGATTGGAAGAGCATGGGGGGTCATGAGGTCGCTGGAAAGGGGTGTGTGGCATTCCTGATATCTTTGCAAGAGGACGATGGTCCAAGTCTTTAGAGTCCTGGTGCTCCCTGTCTTGCTGTGTGGCTGTGAGACATGGACGCTATCCAGTGAGCTGAGATGAAGACAGGACTCCTTTAGTACTGTGTCTCTTCTGAGAATCCTTGGGTACCACTGGTTTGACTTTGTGTCGAATGAGCGGTTGCTAGAGGAGTCCCGAATACACACATTACCTGCATTGTGAGGGAGCATCAGTTACGGCACTACGGCCATGTGGTGCATTTCCCTGAGCGTGATCCGTGGCTGGACCAGGCCAAGGGGATGCCCATGTAACACCTGGCTGAGGCAGATGGATGGCCATCTCCGGAGGGTGGGACTGGACCGCGTATCTGCTTAGGGGATTGCTGGCCGGGAGCCCAGAGGAGTTTTGCTGTGTGGTGGGTGCAGCAACGCACTGCATCATTGCATGCTTCCCCAAACTTGACCTGACCTGTGTTAATCTCATTTTTCCCATTATTCAAATATGCAGTTTCAATATCCAGACACGTCTAGGACAAGATAGATAATTTACTATTTCACAACAATTTTATCAAACTCATCAGGCCTTTTAAACTTAATCAAAGGATTATACCTTTGTAATCTCAGAAAATATTTTTTTCCTTCAAACAATAGGCAATACGTTTCCTAAAGTACAACAGTACAACAGTAGATGAATTATGGTTAATAATTTGTCAGCAGCCCCTTCCCTTCTCCAGGTCTCTACATGCAGTGTACCCATTCTTCTCCTCTGTAGGTTGTTTGTGCATGTCTTCATGCTGGGAAGCTGGACGGCGCTGTTGCTGAAGGCTGTGCTCACTGGAGGCATCTCCCTCTGCTCGCTCTTCCTCTTCATCAGTCTTGTACATAGTAACTAAGAAGGCCTCTTTTTGGATCATTTAACTTTATCCTGAATTCTGAAACACTCTTTTTGGTTAAATTATTTTCTAGTGTTTTATAGTGGCGTGGTCCTTTTAGAACATTGTGTTGCTTCCATCTGATTTAAAAAATGGAAATAAACTCCTTCAAAACAAAATATACTTTAAATGTCAACTGCTTATGTAAAGAAAGTCTCACTGTTCTTATCTCCTACTGAATTCACAATGGTGTAACTATGTTTTAGAGAGCTTCAGTCTGGATGAAAAGTGCTTGAGTAAGAGCCACGAATGTGCACATATTGTCTACTGTGGTGATGAAATTTAACAGAAATTCTTCATTAGTAGTATGAGCTCTTTTTTTTTTTAGAGAGAACAGAATTGTGAGAACTGAACTTTAGTATCCTGCTGACCTTTACATTAACTGTATAACTATCTTTATACTCAGTTGTAGTTACACTCTAGTTATTCACCAAAATCATGTGTAGCAGGTAATAATGTAATATTTTTTTCAATTCTTAATGTAATACAAGTTTTTAATTTAATAATCGGCCAGTAACATAACTTTTTGCAGATAATGTAATAAGTTACATTATTATGTTATTGGTTCAGAAAATGTAAGATATTATTGGCCAGTTGTTATATTATTAACTTATATTACATTGCAAATGGAGACATTTATCATGTTATTGCTGTTAGTACATTATTGGTAGCTGTTACTTTACTGGCTGCTACATAGTGTCCAAACTATATTTAGTCACCCTAAGAATCTATGGGCATATGTTAAGCTGATTAAAGATATTGACAACAGTGTACTATCTAAAAGTTATACAAATTTCAGTATAACAGGTAAATATGTTGGCTTTTTATTACCGGAACAAATGCCTTTCAGTACAGAATCTATATTTCATCACATTTTTTCCACATTTTTTTTACACACACACACCAATGAGTCAAAACATTATGACCACCCCCTTGTGAAGTGAATCATGTTAACTAGCTTATAAAAATGTGTCAGGGTCTGCAATATGTTAGATGATAAGCTAACATACAGTACTTGTCAATATGTTGAATATAGAAGAAATTAACTGGGATAAAGTTTTGAGTGACTTTGACAAGGGCTAAATCATTATGGCCGGATGACTGAGTCAGAACATCTCTGAAACAGCAAGGCTTGTGGGGTACTTACAGAGAGTAGTCTGATGAGGGGAAAGCCACAAACCGCTGATGGGGTGTTGGGCAGCCAAGACTTATCGATCCAAGATGTGGACAAAAGCTATCCCCCGTCTGGTACAAATTAACAGAACAGTTACTGTGGCACAATGCCAGGTAATTTTGATGATGGTCACAAGAGTACTGTGTCACACATCACACAGGGCTGCTGTGTATGGTATGCATATTTAATAAAAGATATATGGGATTGTTTCAACAAAAGTTGTTACCAGCACATACCACTGACGTAGAAGTTATGTGCTGCACGAGAAACAATAAACAATAAACTTATTGAATGCACGTACATAGTAAAGCTATTATGACTCGACCCAATGAAGTAGTTTAATATAGCAAAAACTACCATCAGTGATGTTTATATTAAAATCACTTTTCAAGTGTAATTATCTGGTTGTGTGACAAGCTGTTTTACAGGTGCAGAGAAACGATTAAAAAAAAAAAAAATTTTGTGGAAATGTATCATTTAATCATACATTAACTCTGTGAATGCTTACTACTGGAGCTGAGCGTAATATTTTAAACATTTTTTCAAGCCCCACAACTTCTGTGACATTGTTTTCTATTTGAAAGTAAAAGTGACACGGATAAAACTTTGGTTACACGAGGAATGTCCACTGCAGAGAAGCAAGTAATAAGGCAAGCAATTCTACCAGTCTGCCATTACTCTGAAACGGGCCATTCATCCGTTTTGAAACCTAATCACAATTTCGGAAAACACAATGAAAAAGGGTTATACTGTATGACGTTTTTGCATTTTGAAGAAGTGGGACATTCGAGTGGCTCTCAGACTCGCCAATGGGACGAAACTTAATTTAAATAAACGGAGTTCTGAAGCTGTTTTTCATGAATAAAGAGGAAGTTGCTTTCGTGCCTCTGCCTTTATAATCGTGGGCTAGATCGGTAAAGCAGACAGACCAAAACCTTCAAACCGATTTTCAACATGAACGACGATCGGAAATATTTAGTTTATCATGGGCTTTTACTTCCAAAAGAGACTCATAATGAAGACAGTCTGATGTACGCTGCGGAATTGCAAATTCGAGATGATGATATTTTTGTATTGACATACCCGAAGTCCGGTAAGATATTTACAAAACTAACATCCACAGCCTACTTATTTCATATCTGAAAAAGTGCTTCATCAGTAAACAGAAACCGTAAACCAAATGATAAAATATGCATTTCGAACTATCACACCTATAATAGGCGGCATAAGATATTTTATGAAAAATGCAAGCAAAATTTTATTTTACGTCTATACGCTTAATCCCAAGAGGCAATTACATACTGTAAGCATGCATACTACAAAATAAACAGTAAATAGGTGAAGCGAATATTTTGTCGTTTTAAAAGTATCCGTACTGCGTCAGATATAAAGTAAACGTTTTTTTCCTCAACCAAGAGTTGGCTCGAGGCCATTTGTTATAGGTCTATGTAATCTGTTGCTTGCTCCGACAAGAATCAAGAATTATAAGTATGTGTCTTCTTCAGACTCAGACTGTTCAGATATTTTGGCCTATATATGCCTGCGTGCTTGGGGGGGATGTATGTTTTACTCACCATATGACAAAAACCTGTTATTTTCGACCTTGTGGGGATATATTTCCACTCCCCACAAGATGAAACTCAATTTTATATAAATCTGTTAATACAATTAACCTATAAATGCCAAAATTCTTGTATATTGTTTGGTTACTTATGGTTAAGGTCAGGGTTGGGTAGGGGTTAAGGTTGTCATGGTTGCATGTATGTGCGTGGGTGGATTATGTTTATATTACATTGTGGGGACCAAATGTCCCCACAATGTAATAAAAACCTGTTAATTAGACGTTGTGGAGACCATTTTTCAGGTTCCCACAAAGATCTGTGAATGCAATCAAAAAACTAAAAATGCCAAAAGTCTCATGTTTTATTTAGTTACTTATGGTTAAGGTTAGGGCTGGGTAGGGGTTGTCTGTCATGTTTGGATTAGAGTTTTTTCCATAGAAATGAATGGAGAGTCCCCACAAAGATTTAATTAAAACACCTCTGTGTGTGTGTGTGTGTGTGAGAGAGAGAGAGAAATTAACTGTAACATATGACAAAACTTCCAGGTACCACATGGATGCAAGAGATTCTCCCATTGCTTCTAAATGGAGGAGACCTAACACCAGTTGAGACTATACCAAACTGGGATCGGGTTCCTTGGTTGGAGGAGACCAGGGCTGCTCTGGTTCTGAAAAATCAAACCCTTCCGCGAGCCATGGTCTCTCACCTGCCGTATAATCTCATGCCTCGCACATTCTTCACCTCCAAAGCCAAGGTAGGTGTATACCAGTTTGTTGCAAAATCTTCAGTTTGTCTCACTGTGGACCTTACATATATTTTAAAAGAGCACTTCTTTCATTATCAGGTCATTTACATCACCCGCAATCCAAAGGACGTAGTAGTGTCATCTTTTTACTTCCACAAGATGGCGAGCTTTCTTGATGATCCAGGAACTTTTGATGAATTCCTGGACAAGTTTCTTTCTGGGCAAGGTGAGAGAGGAAGACACCATTATATAATAATCATTGACATTGTAATTTACACAGTGTATATATATATTTTTAATTTTACAGTGTTGTTTGGAAAGTGGACAGATCATGTAAAAAGCTGGAGGAACACTGATTTGGGAGACAGAATTTTATACATAAATTATGAAGATTTGGTGAAGGTCAGTGCCCCCACTATTGCCTATAATCTCCATGTTCCTTTGTTTTATATTTAATTTACTTTGCTTGCTTAAGCTGTTGTGGCTTAGTCCTATCTATTAGTCCTAGTCAACTTCATTCAGAAAACAGCATTGTGTGATGTTTTGTGTAATTTATTGTGTGTCAGTGTATATTTCTATATAGCTTGACAGCTTCTTCATTGTACTCTGTTGTGATCATTAAATACTTTGTGTCATTAAATACTTATATGTCTGCTATGTGTAACCATTCATGCGGAGAAGTCTTGTTCAGACACAGAGGGGAACTGTAATCATAGAAACAGATCATATAGGAGTTACTGTTCTTTGAGCTAGTCACTTTGACATGTTTTCTTTGTTGAACCATTGTGAATTTCTCATTTACTGTAGGATCTAACAGGAGCACTTTGCAAAATCTCACAGTTCCTGGGAAGGAAACACACTCCAGAGATATTACAGAAAGTGGCCATGCACTGCTCCTTCAGCAACATGAAAAACAATAGTATGTCAAATTACTCCCTGGTGCCACAAGACATTATGGACCGCAGCAAGTCATCCTTCATGAGGAAAGGTATAGGAAGATGACACATACGTATTACATACAGTCCTGTCTTAGGCAGTTCAAGAAAATGTTTAAAGCTTTTTATCTTGGCAGTTTATATTTTCTCAGAAGAACACTATTTTTTAGAATATGGAAATTAACAGTAACACATTTCTTCCGTTCCCCAAAAAGTTATTGATATCTTTTTGGATGGCTAGAAGAACATCATTTGGTTGAACACCATTTGGTTCCCAAACCTCTCCCCAGGGGCACCCCAGTCATTCCATGTATTTGTTAAATTTCACCACAAGCTCTCTTAATTAATTAATTTTAATTAATAGTATATTTCAGTGAGCTCTTTATTAGCCAGACATGGTCTGCTAGTAGTCAAAAATATGTGAATGAATTGGGTGGTTGCTGCAAATATTTGGGGTCACTTTAGGAGAGGTTTTGAAATGGCTGAAACACTTTGACAGACTTAATATTATAATGCTACCTCATCATTTTGTTTGATTGCCTACGACTTTTGCACAGTACTCCATACTGGAAGAGTATAATTATATTGGCTGAGTGAAATAGCCAGTAAGTATACTGATAAAAGATTATTTACTGGGATTTAAAAGAATGTTATTAGAATAAGAAAGGAACATGAACTGAATATTCTTTAATATACTATATTCTCCAATATGCAAGTCAATGGTTAATCATAAAATTCTAATATTGCTAGTAATAAATTGTATGTACTCTGTATTTAAGTTCCATCCATCCATTTTCCAAACCACTTATCCTTCTGGGTTGTGGGGGGGTCCAGAGACTATTGTTCCCATCGCAGGGCACACTCACACACATCATTCACATCTATGGGCAATTTAGTAACTCCAAGTAACCCCAGCATGTCTTTGGACTGTGGGGGGAAACTGGGATACCCAGAGGAAACCCCATGATGACATGGGGAGAACAAATCCTGGTCCCTGAGGTGTGAGGCAACAGTGCTAAACATTGTACCACCATGCTGCCCCATATTTAGTTTTAGTAATAGATTTTTTTTCTCTCTGTTTTTAGGGATTGTTGGTGATTGGAAGAACCATTTTAGCCCAGAACAGGAGGAAAAATTTACAACAATCCTAAAGGAGGAAATGAAAGGAACATCCTTTAAATTGGATTGAGAGTCTTGGATTAAGGATAAACAAATTAAGGAAATAGTGGCCATAATAATCATTTTAATAGGAAAAAATAAAACTGTGTACTGCATATGTTGAACTTGAATAACCTGAATGATTTATCTGATTGAATCAAACATAACGACAGGTGTATTTTGTGTTTAGTAATAATTTTATGTAACTGAAGGAAAATGTGAATGAGAAATGCTATAGTGAGATTATGAGAGTGATACATATGTTTGGCTGATCCTAATAGTGAAGGGTGTGGAGCAATAGTGTGTTGAAAGAGCTGAATATGTTTAGACAAGAGTAGCTAGATAATGATATTTTCCTGATTGTGACAAATATCTTTTTAGGTATACAGTAATAAATCTGTAAACCTGTCTTGTTTTAATCAACATAACATTTTTTTAATGCATCACTGTAAAAACAAAAATTCATTTAGACGTTATTTCAAACTTATATACTGTATAGAGATGGCTCATTAATTTGCTTTTTGATATACTGTATTTTTCCTTCATCAAAGAAGAAAAAAAAAGAAAACTCACTGGCAATGACATAACTGGAGCCAGATACGAGACTTTTATGTTATTGTTACATTTTATTATGTGCAGGTAATCTGAAGGGAAGTCACGCATATACAGCTACACCAAATAGACAGACATAAGCAGCCCATAAATGAAACATTGTAAAGTATTAAAGAATCACCAGAACCTTCACTTCATCTCTTTGCAAGCAACAATATTGTATCACACAAACACAAAAAATAAGCACTGGAGACTCTTGTGTTGGCTTGAACACAATGACTCCCAAACACTGAACAACATGAACAAAGCTGGTAGACACCATATTGTTCCAAGCGGATGCCATCTTATCATACCACCCATGCTTCCACCCCTCAGTAGCTCATGTTAGACCTAACAATGTATGATTTACTACATTTATAGGCAATGATGGTTGTATGTATAACTAGACGTAAGTCACACATAAGTTGAATAATATCTGTGTCCTGGTCCCCTGGTTATCTCTACTGTAGGAAGAGAATTAAATTACTAGTGATTTTAAGTGCAAAGTATATTACTAGGTCCACCAAAAGTATTTTTTTAATTTTATTTCTTTTGCATAATGTAATAAAGCATAATACATCCACTTCCACATTTATTCTTGTGTAATTTTTAATGGACAAAAATGATGCTTAGTGGTCATTCAATGATTACATATTTATGTATCAGGTTGTTTTATGACTTTGACATCATATTTTAATTCAATAACAATTTAGTTACAAGTAGTATTCGCACACTTTAAAAACAGATGGCTTGACTGCAGTTACAACTTCTGGCTTTGAAAGGCACAAATAACCAAAACATGAGCACAATTAATTCGAAAGCTTGAAACAGCAAATTGAGAGCATGAAAAAAGTAAATTGTGCACACATTTTAGGGATTTTGTGAGCTCAGTTTAGTATTTCGTGGGCACATTAAGCTAAATTGTGCGCACAATTTATAGTTCATAACCCCTCCAGGGCTCCGTTGATGGGGACCTTGATGTGAGTCATGGAATTTTGGAACTTGCTATGGATGCAGGGGCTGCACCACCTAGTAACTGTAACTCCTGGTCCCTACCTGTTTTTGATTCCAGAGAGATGAAGCATACTTTCAAGGATTTATTGATTGCTGCAGTGAACCCCTTTTATATCTTTTGTCCTGGGTAGTCTCATTCCTCTAGGTTTAGGGGTTGGAATCCTGCCTCTGTGTGTGGAGCTGACATGTTTTCCTCACGACACATGGGTGTCCTCCCACACTCCAAAGATCTAATTAGTGCAGCATAATTGGCCATGTGTTTAGTGAATTTAAACAGCAAAAAAATTAGTTAAATTGAGCAATTTGTTGGTTCCATGAAGCTGAAATCCTTACTGGTGAATAGAAAATAAGTATACAGTGGTACCTCAGTTCTCAAACTCATTAGAACTCGAATTTCTTAAAAGTCGAACCAACCAGTTCGAAAAAAAATTAGCTAGAACTCAATCTCAGAAGTCAAACCGTGAACGCTGACCTAAGATAATTTGTACGCGCGGGGAAATGAGTCACGCAGCACGTCTCTCAGCTGAAACATAGGGTAACGCTTCAGTCTCAGCCTCGCATTCGCTGTGATAGCATCGTGCATGTTTACACTAGATGAATACATATATTTAGACAGAAAAATACATTTAGACAATGATAGACAGTAACAGTAGTTAATATTATATAATAAAATACATTTCAAAATAAAGATTTCTTATTACGGTAATTATTTTAATATTAATAATAAACCATTAATTTATACATTTAATCATAATAATATTGTTGTGCAGAACGGGGATGGAACGGAGACGAAACGTCAGGGTATCGGGGAATACAGGGTTTAATTACAGTTAGGCCTAAGGCAGGCAAAACGCAGACGGACAATACAATGACCGGACTGGGGAAACAAACTGAAACGCGGACTAAATACAGAGGACTAATGACAACAACCAGAAACAGCTGATCACACGGGTATTCCATACAAGGTTGACGAGAGGGCGTGGCACATGGAAGGAGCGGACGATTGGGGCAGGACACATTGTTTTTTTTTACTTTACACATTGTTTGGATACATTTATTTTCTTACTTTACAAATGACTGTTTTGATAAATGTGCTTAGATATGTGTTTAGTACAGTATATGCCCTTCTTGTTTTATCTGGTTCATTTTGTGTTTAAATGCTAAAAAAAAAAAAAACATATTTAGTTGTAATTTTTTGGGGCCGGGAACCAATTAATTGGTTTTCCATTATTTCTTATGAGGGAAATTCGATCACAACTCAAACTTTTTAGGATTCGATTCGGATTAAATTCGAGTTCTGAGGTACCACTGTACTTTGGATTAATTGAGAGGGGTGAAGTCTTTCATAGTCAAATGACAGAATTAAACAAGCTGTGTACACACAATACTATGTTTTCTCCCTGCCATGCATTTCCTGTTTGACTGGTTGGTCTTTCATGAATACTTGGTGCTGATGATCAACTATGAGGTATGCAGACAAGACAGCTAAGTTGTACTTAAGTGTCAAGTTGAATAGGAATCACCGAGGACAAGTTAAATTTGTGGAATGAGATTTGCATCAGCTGACACATGGAGAAGTTGCAGGTCACCAGTTTATTCTCTGACAGATTGCAATCCGGGAGCGGCCATCTGACATACATTCAGCATGTACAGGAGGAAGCTCTGCCATATGTATCAGCTGTATCCCTTTTAAAGCCCTTTGGGCATCTCCCCCCTCTCTCGGTACCTTCCGTCTACGTGACAACCACATGTTTGACATTTGCTCTGGTTAGTCGGTTAGTACCAGAGCATGTGAGCTGAGTGGAGCGATGAGAATTTCCGCTCCTCGCTCACGAGGCTGTTGGCTCCGCCCGCTCTTCCGCTCTAATTCGCACTAAGCCGCTCTGCTCAACACCGCTCCTCGCTCCACGCTCGCTCCAATTTAAAAGAGCGACAAATAAATAAAGAAATATGAACAACGGCAACATTGCCACTCAGAAAATATTTAATTTTAAGCAACATATAGGCAACAACGGACTATGGGAGGTATTTTCTGCAAAAAATAAAATTAAAATGAAAATGATAAAAAGAAAATACAATCTCCACTTTGCCATTTACTTCCCAAAGTCTGTGCGTAAAAATCCTGCACAAATTAAAATGAAATAGCACAATTTGCATTTTAATTTTCCACTCATGTATGAGTCAGATGTGAAAAATTAAAAAATAAAATTAAAAACCCTTTTTGTCTTTTCATTTTCCAATTTGACTTTTCATTTCCTACTTTGGCTTTTCATTTTCAAGTTCACTACATGCAAATATATGTTAATCGGCGTGGGGCGGTGGGCGGAGCTACTGATCACTGCTGCGCTTCTCAGTGCGTTTGCCGATTCCTTTCTTCTTGTGTTTCTTGCCCGTGTCGCCCAAACTAATGGCAAAGTCACACGCGGCTTACGTTAGCTACTTATCTACAGCTTCCGATTCATTTAGCTTCTTATTCGTAGCGTCTTATTTCACGACTTAAGTTACTTGCAGCTTCCTTATAGGGGAGTGTTCGAAGCTGCACATGCTGTGCAGTTTTTAGATAAAACATTTTGAAAATACGAAATTAAATATTATGTCGTGCGATATAATGGCAGGTATACCATTTGTAAGGAAACACTGAAATTAGCCTGGGTCAGACTGCCATGTTTTCAGCTAGGTAGCTATCTGGCCTAGGCTAATTTCAGTGTCATTAGAGTGGCATGCCTGCTGTTTACTATGCATTTCATATTTACCTTACCCAAGATGAATAAGACCTCCGAATTCCATTTGGAAATATGGCTTCTTATTCAAATAAGTGTGAACAATTGATCAAAGTGTCATGCGACCAGTTTACTGTTACAAATGATGCCCAGGTAATTCCACCATTTTCAATACAGGAAGACTTTCTTCTACGAAATAAATATACGTTCTCAAACCTTTTATTAATACGTTATTTTGTATTTCCAGCTTAAGCCCCGAAATTAGACGCTACAAATAAGAAGCTAAATGAATCGGAAGCTGTAGCTAGTAGCTAACTTAAGCCGCGTGTGACTTTGCCATTAGTTTGGGCGACACGGGCGACACGGGCAAGAAACACAAGAAGAAAGGAATCGGCAAACGCACTGAGAAGCGCAGCAGTGATCAGTAGCTCCGCCCACTGCCCCGCTCCGATTAACATATATTTCCATGTAGCGAACTTGAAAATGAAAAGCCAAAATAGGAAATGAAAAGTCAAATTGGAAAATGAAAAGACAAAAAGGGTTTTTAATTTTATTTTTCAATTTTTCACATCTGACTCATACATGAGTGGAAAATTAAAATGCAAATAGTGCTATTTCATTTTCATTTTAATTTGTGCAGGATTTTTACGCACAGACTTTGGGAAGTAAATGGCAAAGTGGGGATTGTATTTTCTTTTTATCATTTTAATTTTAATTTTATTTTTTGCAGAAAATACCTCCCATAAACAACGGACAGGTTTGGCAATATGGCATTCCACACAAAAATAGACTTAAAAATAAAGGAATCAGTGGGCTTAATAGCCTAAAGAATATACAGGCTAAGCATCTACATTTTAAATTCCTCAATTTTTTTCTGTTGATGCTGCGTCTCTCTATAAAATAAAATTTCACTGACAGCGTTACGTGAAATTAAAAAAATCCTATTAGACCTACTTTGAATGACAAAACGAATTTATTTGATTACAAATATTTACTTTATAGGCTTTTATACTTTAATTTACTTTATAGACTTAATATACTACAACCATATAAAACTTTTTTGCTCTGGTGATCTGACAAAATATCCTACCTATCAAGCTGTCCTACCCGTTGTTACTGCGCATGCGCAAAACTCAAAACGGCCATGTTTTCGTGCTAAGAGTACACGCCTAATATTTTATCCTACCCTGATCTCGAGGTTAGTATTGTTTGTTTTACTTATATTAAAGTTGATATTTATTTTCCTTAAGCCGTTGTCCATTTGTTAACTTTTCAAGCAAACATGCGCTTTGTTTTTGTGCAAGAAGAATCCAATTTGAAGTCTCAACTGAAGTCATGTTTCAAGTCTTGATTTACTACTTAGAACTAAACTTCTGTAAACTGGCATACATGTGTACACCTTGTCAATTAAATTTAGTCCTAGTGCAGTTAGTGGACACCACGCTCATTTGTTATCTCGAAGAAAGCAATATTGCACTACATACTTGCTAATTGAGTGATAACATTGTTTAATTTCTAAGAACCTTAACATTGGTATTTTTATTTACATATGTGCATTGCTTCTTACATAATGGATCCTGAAGCTATTCTGAAAATGTTCTCCTTAGTTATGGAAAACAAATACAAGGAACTGCTCGCGTTTCTTTCTGATGGGTCCTACCCATCAGAATATGACATGTCCCTGAGGCAAAACCTTAGGAGATATGCCTCAAGATTCAGGCTGAAGGGTCAGCAGTTTATTGTAAATACTAACTATATGTGGTTATTGGTTAAATAAATGTAATAATTAATTTGAATTATTTCTGAAATGTAGATAGAGAGCTCTTGTTTGGAAACAGGAAAGTGATCAAAACAA